CGTCCCCGAGGCTGTGGGCAATGAAGGACGCAGAGGCCCAGAGAGTGTTCAGGCAGATGGTGAGTGCCGCGGGCCACCCGAAGGGCATCGGGCACAGAGACCTGAAGGTGGGGAATGTCGTCCTCGGCGCCGGGGGACACTGTCAAGCTCTGTGACTTGAACCTGAGGCCACAGGTTCAAGGCTGGGACAGAAGTTCCACAGGATTTGGGGGCAAACCCCCATCCTAGGGGGTCCCCAAGCCGCTGAGAAAGCAGGTCCTGCATGCAAGGTACGACGTCCCCTGCCACCGGTCCCCAGAGGGGCAGGAGCCTCATCCTGCAGATGCTGACCATGGACCCCACGCAGAGGGGTCATGGGGCACCCGTGGCTGAGCCCGGGGGAGGACCAGGAGCCACCACGTCCATGCACAGAACCTCCCCTGGACCCCCCTCAGTCATGAAGGTCATGCAGACCTGAGTGACACCCGGATGTCCCTAAAAGCCACAAAGTCCGACGCAGCAATGGCCACGTACCTCATGCTTCAGTACCAGAAAACTCGGGGGCCAGCTGCTTGGTCCCACTAAAGCCCGTGAGGCAGGAGGTTGGGCCTCCACCCTGCCCCTCGGTCCCTTCCAGTGTCCCCATGCACCCCCAGGGGTCTGTCAGCGTGCCAGCCCTTGGCTCCACCATCATCCTGCTCATGGGGGACAAGCCACTCAGAAAGAAGGGCCACAGAGCCAGCGAGCCGGTCCTTCCCGAGTCTAGCCTGCAGTCGGGCACCCCCATGGCCAGCCTGGCTGCCCGGCTCCCCGGCGGCTCCTGGTCGAGCAGCGACATGTTGGGAGGTGACCAGCAGGAAGCCCTCCCAGGGGTCCCCAGAAGAGAGCTTGGTCTCGGTCCAGCCACCCTGGGGTGACACGCTGGGCCCTGCGTGGGGTGACACGCTGGGCTGTGGGGGACTGTCCAGGAGGATGGCTGCCTGCATGGCCCGCGTGTGCTGCTGAGTGGCGGTCCCCAAGGCGGGCCCCAGGCTGCAAAACCAAGTGGCGCCAAGGCACAAGAGACCCGGCTGGTAGAAGGTTCCAGAACAAAGTGGCTCTGATGGACTCCGACAGCCGAGACCCCGCGAGGCCAGGTAGGTGCGGCGCAGTGGACCTCTCATGTCCCAGACTCCGTCCTGGATGTCGCTTTCCCATGGCTGGTCACTCCTGGGGACACGGAGGGCCTGGGAGGTCTGGGGACAGTGGGTGTGATGAACTCTGCTGCTCATTGTCATTCCTGTCTCCTCAGGTGACACAGGATCTTCACGGGTCTGGAGGGAGGTGCAGCAGCCTCCTGCCCCCACCTGGAGGAGACACCAGGGACCTTGGGTCCCCTGTCCCCGCCCTGCTGTGCCCCCACGCTGCAGGGTCCCTCACCCATTTCTGTTTCCCAAATCTCTTATAAATGGATGCTCCCAAGTGGGTCCGCGCTCCCTTCTGTTCCTGGGTCACCGTAGAGTCACACTTTGGTTGGAGCAGCACGTGGTGACGTCACACTGGGGGTGCGGGGAGGCAGGAGGGACTTTACCAGGGTCCCCCAGCAGCCACGAGGACTCTTCTGTGTGTGTCTGAGGGGACAGCGGGCTGAGCAGCCCCACGCCAGACCCTTTGGGGTGACCTCCTGCTGCCGATGGCCTGGTGATCACTTGCTAGGGTCCCCTTGACAGGAGACCTGCCTCCCCAGCCCTATTCTGTATTTTATTTAGAGACAGGGTCTCCTTGAGTTGCTCAGGAAGTTGCTGAGGCTGGCCTCCACCTGGCGATCCTCCTGCCTCAGCCTCCTGAGCCGCTGGGATGACAGGCGTGGGCCACTGCACTCGGCTTCATTTTCTTTCTTTTTAAACTCACTTTTATTAAAAAAAAAATTGTTCTTTTTAGCTCTCCATGATGACAGAGTACATTCTGCCATGTCACACCTACACGGGGTGTGACGTCCCACTCCTGTGGCTGGACCTGCTGTGGGGTGTCCCTGGTCATGGGTTCCTATGTGAATATGGGAAAGTGACGTCCCATTCACTCCCCTGTCTCTCCCAGTCCCCTCCTTTCCCTTCCCTCCACTCCCCTGCGTCTCATCCAAGGAACTGCTGTGCCCCCTCCTCCTTATTGTGGGTCAGCGTCCCCATATCAGAGAGAACATTCTGCCTTTGGTTTTGGGGGGACTGGCTTATTTCACTCAGCATGATCGTCTCCAGCAGCTCCATCCATTTACCATCAAATACCGTCATTTCATTCTTTAAGGCTGCATAATATTCCACTGTGTATAAGGACCACATTTTCTTTATCCATCCACCTGTTGAAGGGCTCCTAGGTTGGTTCCCTAGCTTGGCTATCGTGAGTTGAGCTGCCATAAACACAGATGTGGCTGCGTCCCTGTCGTGGGCGGATTTTAAGTCCTTTGGGTATAAACCAAGGAGTGGGACAGCTGGGTCCCATGGTGACTCCATTCCAAGTCTTCTGAGGAATCTCCAACCTGCTTCCTATTTTGCGTTTCAATCACAAGTTAAACCCTGGAACTTCCACTTTAGAAGTCATGAACCCACAGTAACCAGCTGATCCATAACTTAGAGAAAAGTTTGGAGTCCCACTAGTCCCCGGATGGCTGTGATCCACCAGAGAATAAAGCAGAATTACAATTGTCTTTTTGGGGATTTTTAAAATTTTTTGGTTCCAGGGATTGTACCTAAGGGCGCTTAACCACTGAGCCCCGCCCCAGCCCTGTTGGTATTTTATTTAGAGACAGGGTCTCGCTGAGTGGCTCAGGGCCTCAGTTTTGCTGAGGCTGGCCTCCACCTTGCGATCCTCCTGCCTCAGCCTCCCGACCCGCTGGGATGACCGCGCCTGACAATTCTATTTCTGAAGGTATCCTCCTCCAAATTCAGGTATTGCCAATCTGAAAGTATTAGGAGTACTATGTTCTGTATTAAAATGTCCACCCATATGCAAAAAAAAACTTGATCACTAGTCTATAGCACTATAGGGAGGCTACAGAATCTTAAGGAAGTAGGAACCAGTGTGGGGAGCTTTTGGGTCGCTGTGGGTGTGCCCTTGAGGGGGATACTAAGCCCTGGCCTCTTCCTCCCTGTTTTCTGGCTGCTATAAAGTGAGCACCTTGGTCCACCATGGGCTCCCTACAGGCTCCAAATCAAACAGGGCCACAGTTCACGGTGGCACACATCTCTAATCCCAGCGTCTTGGGAGGCTGAGGCAGGAGGATCACAAGTTGGAGGCCAGCCTCAGCCAACTCCCCTGACCAACTCCAATGGGACAAGGGACTCTAACAACACCTTTTCCTGTCCTAAGCCCTTCCCTTCCTGCCTAAGCCCCATAAAAAAATCCCAGTCCAGTGGAGCTCCCATGCTTAGCAACTTAAGAGGCCCTAAGCAACTCAGCGAGACCCTGTCTCTAAATATATAAAGGGCTGGGGACAGGGCTCAGGGGTTAAGTACCCCTGGGTTCAATCCCTGGTACCAAAAAAAAAAAAGGTCATAACTGAGCTCTCCTGACTAGGAAGAATTCCCCTTTTCATAGAATTCCCAATCCCAGGTCCTTCTAGCAAAAAATAGAATATTGGCCTGTGTTGAACTCCACAGCCCCAGGGACATGTACAAATTGCTCCATTGTCTTGGCCTGGCAGAGCAGGGGGTCATCTGACATCTAACATCAGTGGATCATGTCCACACCCACCTCCTGGAAGCAGGGTGGCCTTCTATGGCCTAAGGCCAAGCACAGGTTGATGGGTACACACCCTGTGAAGGTGACAACTGGGCCTTTTTTTTTTTTTTTTAGTACCAGGGATTGAACTAGGGGCCCTCTACCCCTGAGCCCCGTCCCCAGCCGTATTCTGTATTTAGAGACAGGATCTCCCTGAGTCGCTTAGTGCCTTGCTTTTGCGGAGGCTGGCCTCGAATTTGAGATCCTCCTGCCTCAGCCTCCAGAGCTTGCTGGGATGACAGGCATGTGCCACTGTATCCAGCCCTACACTCACTTTTCATAGATGAGGAAACTGAACAACAACAACAAAGGTAAATTAGTGGCACTCTATTACAGTACTTAGAAACTATGCCCTGGCCAGGCACGGAGGGATATGGCTATCTATAATCCCAGTGACTTGAGAGGCTGAGGCAGGAGGATGGCAAGGTGGAGGCCAGCCTTAGCAACTTAGTGAGGCCCTGAGCCACTCAGTGAGACGCTGTCTCTAAATAGAAAATAAAGGGGCTGGGGATGGGGGTTGGTGGTTGAACGCTCCTGGGCTCAATCCCCGGTAAAAAAATAAAATAAAATAAAATAAAAAATTACATATTATAATACATTAAAATACATAACAATTACATATATATATATTTTTTTTTTTCTTAACGCCCATCTGCCTGCTGCTGGGCACCGTAGGCTGCGCGGGGCGCTGTGGGGACGCTGGGCCTGTCACCTGGTCACCTTCCACAAACAGTAACGTGCACACACGCGGAACCCACGTGCAAGCCCCAGGCAAAACCGACATTTCCACAGCTGAGCTCCCTCCAGACCCATCTAGGCCTTGAATTTTCCCTGCTCCCTTGCTCTTTTTTTCCTTATCCCCAGGCCTGTTCCTG